TGTGCAACTTGTCCTCCGACCGGCGGTCAATTAAAAAAAAAAGAAAACTCACCTTCATGAGAGGCAGTAGCCCTCGTGGATGCAAAGGGCTGGGCCTATGGACCCCTCACGCATTATCAATCAAGAGAAGAAATCAACTACCCTCTCTTTGAAGATTGCCAGTCATTTAAACAAAACTTAAACTTGGTTGCCTCTGTCAGCAATTCAACAACCATCCTTCTAACAAAACACAGAGTAGGTCAGAGTGTTGCTAAAACTCGTGACATTCAAACGACCATGAGGCGACGGTCAAAAGAGTGGTAGGACACGTGCGCGTGACGGTTTTGGCGCACGCACTGCGTGACAGGCCCGTGAAGTACGCAGCTGGGCCGTACGTGACGGTTTGCTAAACTTCTCCAGTTCTGTTTTTTTTGTTACAAATCAGAGAAACGCCCAGAATCAGGCCAACACTTTACATGCTGTCAAGCTACTATACCTTGCAGCCGAAACAGACATGTTTGCCTGTTCCCTTGCGGTAGCACATAATGGAAGCCGGACTTCTATGAAATCGGAGACACTAACACTGTGCTTCTCTCCATTGGGTAACTTGCGATAGAACATCATCCCAACCAGTGGGATGGGGTGGAGGAGGATGACTACGGAAATTAAGGTGGTTAGGTGGCCCCAGGTTCGAACGCGGAATTGACCATTTTTCCAGTTAAATTTTCCTTGCTCTCTTTAGCTAGTAGGTTATTTATTTCCATAAAACTGCATTTATTGCTTCAAATCGATGACGTCACTACATGACATATCTGAGCCTGCGGCAAAACGGCAAAGCATTTCCGATAGAAGTCTGGGCACAACTGGTAGAATCAAGATGGCTTCCGTAGCAAGAGCGTACATTCTCAACAAGAAAAGGTGAGTAACTTAACTGAAACCTTTGGCTTACCTAGTTATTCTGTTAAAATTTTATACTATACAACTTAAATCTTAATCCTTGCTATTTTTTCGTTTTCTTAGACAAGAACAGGCTGGAAATCAACGATGCCAAAAGTGTCTTCAAATAGGTCACTGGACTTACGAATGCAACAACAAACGAAAATACTTGCAAAGGGATTCACGGACGGCAGTCATTAAGAAGAAAATAAAGTTGATGAAGTCTGCCAGTGAGAACACTGATACAACTAACAGGTGAGTTTAAAATTCACCAGTTTTCAGCAAAGATCGCGCCTTCAAATATATTCAGTAATATATGTCCTTGATGTATTACAAATCGAACTTTCAGTTTGGAATGTGCTTTCTCCTTTAGTAAATTAAAAGGAAGCTGAACTTTAGGTTTTATTTTTACAATAACTGCAGAAATTTTTCGCAAACTCATTGGCTAATTTTTATTGTCATTAAGCAGAGACACATGAATTTGTAATTTATTCGATGTTGATATTGCAAAAAAAAAAACAAAACAAATCGACATCAGTTTTTCATGCGTCTGTCCTGTTATTGACAATGAATGTCAACATAACATTGTCAAAGTAGTCTACAGATCCACTAGCTATTGCCTTGTGGATACTTTGACAATGTTATGATGTTAATACCACAGCGTCACAGATTTGATGATGAGTCCTTTAGATTATTGTTGGATGTGATCCTGTTGTTAATAAATGAAAATTTGATACGTTATTCTTAGTGAGGCTCTTGACAAGGAGAAAGAGACGTCAGAGAAAAGGTATTGTGAATTGTATTTTCTTTATTAGATACACAGACATCAGAACTCATTTCAAGCTTGACATTGCAGAGCCTGTGTTTATGGTATTTTCTCGATAAGTAAACGATGGGTCATGAATAAATTCCAGTTCTCCCAGGCAGATTTGTATTTCAGGCCCCAAAGATTTCATTTTCGAACGATGAGGGAAGTTTTGTTAGATAATTATTGCATTCAAAGAGATGTCAGCATTTGAATAAATGTGCAGGTTTCACATTATTAACTTATCGTAAATCACTGTACTTTTTTTTTTCTATAGCTTACTTAAAGATGATTTCCAGTCTGTACTGCGCACTCTTGAGAGTTTGTTTGCGTTTTTTTATTTTGTTTCATGTATATATAGCATCACAAAATGTAAACATTTTTCAACTACTTACATGAAGTAAATTCAAAGTTTTAAAACAACCACCATTATGGATGCTGAGCTTTTTGCTTGGTTCTTTCTCATATCACTTGATGAAACAACTTTGCAGCTGTAAAAATCAATGAAGCTGTTGGAAAAAGAATTTGGAAAGCCTCAAAGATTTGTTATGTGGTTTGTAATGAATAACATAGATTCACATTCCATCGAGTGAGGACTTGTAATTTTTATAAACATTAGGCTGCTGAGACTGTACAGTACGGACTGGAAATCATCTATAAGAAATAGAAACCATGTTACGTGTTTCTATAGAGTTATAGAGAAGCACGAGCGGAAGATTGGGAGAACGAGAAATGCTGTGGGAATACGAGCTGACAGGCGAGTGTTTCTACATCGTTTTTCAGAAAGAAAACAACTTGTTTACTTTGATCATCAAAATGTAAATAATATTTTTCTTTGTTTGCATCATCACTATGCTAGTTCTGTGTTTCAGTCGAGTCATAGAAACAGGATTTTAAACCAATCAGTGCGCATATCTTTGGGCTTTTTTCTAAACCTCATTATTGTTATTATTAAAAGCAGCAGTGATGAAAGTGATGAATCTGATTCTGATTCTGATGAGTCTTCAACATCCGATGACAGTGACTCGTCCGATGACAGCAGCAGTTCTTCCAGTGGCAGCAGCAGCTCCAATAGTAGCAGCAGCTCAGAGGAGTCAGATAGTGACAACAAACGCAAGTCAAAGAAACGCTGATAACTGGAAAGAAACATTTGACAGGTTGAAGAAGTGGCGTCAAATTAGAATTTGGAAGTATGGTTACATCTGAACCACAATGAGCCTACTGAAGGAACTTATGGTGACATAATGTTCTTGTTCACTGCTGCATGCTACAAATTGAATTGCTTGTGGAACTGGTGGTCTTGAGGAATCCTTGCAAAGCAAGAAAATCTTGCAAAATTGCCCAACGTGTACTGTGGATGCCATTACTGTTCATGTTAACTCCAATCAGGGACTGTTTCTGCAACTGTTTTTTTTTTCAATACGACTATTAGAAGGATTACCGTAACCTTTTAATTCCCTATCGTACTTGACATGAGAAGAACGTTGTGTTGAGTGGTATCCAGTCTTTTTATCAGACTCCTTGTTTTATTCTAGCAGATGACTGAAAGGATGTGCAAAAACGTAGCACAGTCCTAAGCTTTTTTTTTTCTAGTGAGATCTAGAGACTACATACAATGTGCTGTTCCAGAAAATATACCACCTCATGGATGGTTTTTTGGGTATTACCCTCCCCCCTGGAATTCCGGTTCAGCTTCATATTTTCTTTTAAAATCTTGCTTTTTGAGTTCCCCCTCCCCCATTCCGTCAGAATTGCCAAAGACCTTCCATGAGATGAGAAAGTAACGATATTGGCCGTGTTTATACTAAAGACGCATTATCCGTCTGGACGAACTTGGGCAAACATTTATAGTTCGTCTGATTATTCGTCTCTAGTATAAAGACGGTCATGAGACGTATTATGCGTTTAGATAAACTCTCTCTCCTAGTGCGTCCTTCAAGACGAATTTTGAAGTATAGTTCGTCTAGATGCATAATACGTCTTGTGCCCGTCTTTATACTATAGAAGAATAACTAGACGAACTACAAATGTTTGCCCAAGTTCGTCCAGACGGATAATGCGTCTTTAGTATAAAAACGGCGAGGACGTATTATCCTTCTGGACGGATAATGCGTCCTCTAGTATGAAAACGGCCATTTTCAGGGGTTATGGAATAGGCTTCAGCCAACATGGTACTGTTGTAAATTGGAGACCTTTGTTGTTCTAAACTAAGCCTTTTCGCTGAAGTTTCAAAATGAAAAAGAATCTTTGTCACATATTTTCATTATCAAACTTTCTACATTACAGTTTTCAATTTCCATTTTAACCAATTCTGTTGCACTTTAGAGTTGCATATCTAGGTTCTGTTCTTAGCCGCTTTGTTTTGGTGGTCTGTTGTAACATAATACTTCTGATGTCATGAGGCTGATCCACTGTACTTGGAGCTTCCTACTGCGTGAGATATTTTAGAGGAGCTCAGTCACGGTATTTTGGCCACGTACAAAATTTTCTCTAAATTGAAGTAAACCTGAAAATAGTAGTTTACTAAGATAAATAAAGGAACAAGGATGGTTAGGGATGGAGAAGACTAACACGGATTACAAACGAAGAACTTGAAAAATTTAGGCTGAACTTTTTAAGATGCGCAAACCGTGACATAGCTCCTTTATAATTACAATTTTGAAAGAAAGCCTTCAGAGTCAGTAACTGAGTGTTCTGAGCATGCTCATACCATGACTTGTTTACTAATTAAAAGTTCTGGTGAACAGTGTTTCTATTAACTGCGTTGGTATGAAGATGTGCACTACGTATTGCCTAGTACTAGGTATTAACTGCGTTGGTATGAAGATGTGCACTACGTATTGCCTAGTACTAGGCCTTGATATTTCGCCTCAGTCAATCCTTTTCGGGTCACGTGGTCCGAGGCGAAAAGTTCCGTTCGTCTTGAATACGTCTCTGAAATCAATTGACCGTGAAGGTCAGCTGGGAGAAAGCCGTACAGGGACTGGGCAACACTGCGTACATACAGGGTCATCCGGGTGTTTTTTATTTTAAATTTCGTTTTCCGTCTTTTCCAGCCGGAGATACTGTACGATTACGCCTAGCTATATAGCCAATCAACTTCACACTTACTAAGCTCTTATTTCATGTGAAGTATATTCCTGAAACTCGCGTTCATTAAGGAGCAAAACGCACATGCATTACAGTTTCCAAAACGTAGAAAGCGCGCGGTTAGGAACCCTGATTGGGGTGAGCTCGCGCGGTAGATTCCTTGTGACGTGGTAGTCATTGTTACGTCGTTTTCCATAGTTAAACTTTTTTCTTGTTGCAAGAAGCCTGCATTTGTGAATTATAAAGAGAAAAATAAGCCGTTTAAAAACCTGTGGAAGAATTCCAGATATTATGATGTCACTTGATCACGAATCTGCTTCGGAAGAAATGTGGGAGCAACATGATTTTGACCAGTCGTCAGGGAGCGGTCTTACTTTGGAAGATAACCTTTATAAAAGTGGAGAGCTAAGCTTTGATTCCTTACCCCAAGAAATGGAAGAAATTAGCGACGAATCTGCTGGCCACAACCACGTGGAAAATGAATTTACCATGTACAGTCAGTTGACGTTGTTACAAGACACTTTCAAAACTGTTGGTGGAGACCTCGAGGAAATCAAGACCCTGATGTTCAAACTACGAGATGTACTGAAAACGGACGCAGAACAAGAACTTGATTTGAACAAACAAAGACATTGCTGTTCTGGGGAAAGCTCCAACGACATATCAGTGATAGAAGTAGACGAGGGTACCTCGCACGAACTTGAAGATGAAAAAAATTGTCCCACGAGAGAAAGTTCGGCTGAGTCATTGGACGATAGTAAATATTCTACGCTCATAACAGATATAGAAGTCTTGAAAAACAAACTTGTGTCACTCAAGAGAAATCTAGCAGAATAATGAAGGTTCTTGAGTCTTATTTTTGAAATACTAAACTTGTACCTGTTTCTCCAATATGAAAGAATTGTTTTTTTTTTATTTTTCTATTTTTGAAAATAAAATTAAGATTAAAATCGAAAAAATTTCCTTCTTTTTTGACTTGATTTTAAAAGCTAAGAACAATGATTACAGGTAGAAGGTAGAAATATTTTTATTTTCTACATTATTGTAATTCAAGACCGCGGTCCTGTTCCTCATCTTCCTCTGTTACTAAATTCTCCTTGCAATATTCTCTGGCACCGTCAAAGAAGCAAAAAGTCAGACAAATTTAGCAAATCACGAGTGATCATGGCCTGTTGTCTGTTGAGGCACAAAACCTGGCGGGAAGTCTCTAGGTCTGGTGCAAGGTTATCTACTGATTCAGAGTCTCCCCCTC